CTGCTAAGCGAGCCTCTCAGGGGGCTTCTACAGGGGGGACTTCTGTGCTTCTGCTGAGGTAGTTTCTATGTGCCTTCTAGGCGTCTGCTAAGCATGACAGTACTAAGCTTCTACGTTTCCACCAACTGTCTGCTGAGGTAGCGTCTACTGAGGTTCTGTTAGGCTGGCTTCTACAGAGGGAGCTTCTAAGAAGCTTCCACTGAGGTAGTTTCTTCTAAGCTAGTTTCTACTAAGCTTCTGCTAAGCTAGGTTCTTCTAAAGGAGGTTCTGCTAAGGGAGCGTCTACTAAGGTTCTACGTTTCTAGTAAGCAAGCTTTTACCAACTGAGCTTCCACTAAACTTTTACTGAGTGAGTTTCTACTGAGCACGTTCCTACAGAGCATGCGTCTACTAAGCTTTTACACTTCTACTAAGTGACCTTTTACTAAGTTTTTACTGAGGTGGTTTCTGCTAAGTTTCTACTAAGCACACATCTACTAAGCTTCTGCTGAGTTAGCTTCTACTAAGCTTCTGCACTTCTATCAAGCGAGCTTTTACTAAGTTTCTATGAGCTAGTTTCTACTAAGTATGCATCTACTAAGCTTCTGCTAAGCTAGCTTCTACTAAGCTTCTGTGCTTCTACTGAGAGTTTCTGTAAAATTTCTACTAAGCAAATTTCTGTTAAGCATGCATCTGCTAAGCTTCTATGCTTCCCCTAAGTGGGCTTCCACTAAGCTTCTCCACTTCTATCTGCTGAGGTAGTTACTGCTAAGCACACTGCTGCTAAGCTGTCTTTTACTAAGTTTCTGCCATGCATGCTTCTGCTATGCATGCTTCTTCAAAGCTTCTGCTAAGCTAGTTTCTACTAAGCTCCTGCTAAGGCAGTTTCTGCTAAGTTTCTACTAACTTTCTACTAAGTAAGTTAGCTTCTACTAAGGACATTTCTATTAAGTTAACTTTTACTAAGCTATTAGTTTAGCTTCTAAGCTAGCTTCTGCTAAGCAAGCTTCTCCTAAGCTGGTTTCTACTAGGCTTGTGTCTACTAAGCTAGCGTCTACTAAACTTCTACAAAATTAGTTTCTACCAAGCAAGTTTCTACTGTTTCTAATAAGGAAGTTTCTAGTAAGCTGGTTTCTGCTAAGCTTCTACTAAGCTAGCTTCTACTAAATTTCTGTCAAGGTATTTTCTGATAAGTTAGTTTCCACTAAGCTTCTAGTAAGCAAGTTTCTACTAAGTTTCTGCTAAGCTGTTTTCTTATGAGCTAGTTTCTGCTGGTGGAGAAACAATACATTTCTGATTATCTTTCCCCTCTTTGTTTTAGATTATTATGGTAAGCATGGATGGGAAGTATCTTTTTGGAAATAGTCTTGTTACTGAGCCATGAACATGCATTCTGAGCGACTTCTTTGCTGTGTCTACTGTCTTGACAGAATTGATATGTCAAAAATTCATACTGGTTCATCTGGATCATCTGTGTAATAAAGTGATGACTATCCCTGTTAGGGTTGTGTAAAAAATGCTAACCTTACTAAAATATGTTCAGTTTAACTTGGTGATTTGAACTAGTTAAAACGGGATTTCAACATAGGCTTAAAGTGGTTTAAATGCTCTATACAATATTGGCATGTACTGTCTTCACTAGACCAAATGAAGCTAGTGCAGCTGTTCTGTGTACCTGTATTTCATGCTTTTGCTTCTTTGAGCCTTTAGCATGCTAAATGTCTGAGAGTTTGATAGGTAATCCAGCCTTTTCACTTCTTGGGAATCTTCTGAGTTGTAGGGTTTTTTTATACCTTTAGTCTCAGTGAAGTTACAATATTAAAATACTTCTGCTAGATGGTAATTGCATAAACAGCAATGGTTTTCAGCCTCATACAATTGAAAATTATAAATGAAGCATCTTTTTTTTTTCTTTGTGATGCTGATCCTTTAATAGATTTGTGGTTTTGAAATGTATCAACAAATTTTGATGAATTCAAGACTTTCCCTTTTATGAAGAAAGGGGAAAATCACTTATGAGTTTGAAACCAGATCTTCTGATCATCAAAGCCTTCCTCTTAGTTAGAAGAGTGATATGTAGTCAAAATATGATCACCTTATTGTAGTAGGGGAAGCTGTCCTCACTTCCCGTGTTGTAACAGCAAACCTATGTTTGATGGGAACAAAAAAGAAAGCTATTTACGTTGCCCTCCTACCACTCTGAAATATCCCTAAGTACTGTGATACCTTCTCTTAAATGTGAAGTTTTGTGTACATCTTCTCTTACTCTAAGGCTGTTTCTAAATTATCCCTCTTTGTAAGTTATTCAAAGGGTAAATTGCTTTGCCAGAATGATTACAGATTTTTGGGTAGCTTTTTTGTTTATCTATAGTAATGGGGGAAAAAAAAGGCAAGTACAATCAGTTGCAAGAACGATAGGTTAAAAATCAAAGTTTACATGCAGAAGCATGTCTCCACTGAACAGTTACTTGGGTCTTTATAAACAACAAAAAGATAGTGTATTGAGGTGACAGATTTATTATTTTATGACAATTCTGGCCGTGAATGAATCAACAAATGGTAGATTTTTCTTTTAAATTCATATGCAAGCATATCTTTCTTCAGCAGAGTATATTTCAACTCATTAATATAGGTGTTTAAAACCATGTTTGAATGCAGTACTTTACACTGAACTTCGCCTTTTTCCCAGTGGAAAAAAGTATAGCTCTCTTTGAGCAAATGTTTGTGTATGTATACTTACATATGTGTATATATATTTATGTAAAAAACCCTGATGTGTATATATACACAATTGTAGATCTTAATATGATCCAAATATCAGGTTTTTATTTAGGAGAAGGATGTGTTGTAACATTCTGATTTATTTAACTCCGCAGTTTGTTCAGCCTTTGTTTAGCTTCAAATTAGAATTAACTTGAATGTGCTGAAGTAGTACAGTTGCTTAAGTTCATATCTGAACTTTTGTTTTTACAAAGCAGATGTTCTGCATTTTAACCTTAAATACAGATGATTGCGTAGACTCCTATGGCAAACATGCTTAAGCAGGTTACCTCTCTATATTTCTTTGGCTACAGCTTTAGATATTTCTGAAAACTATACAACGTGCCAAGGTGCCTTCAGGAAAAAAAAAAATTGATGCCATGTCTTTTTTTGTTAAATCAGTGCAGCGTCTCCTCTGCAGTCTGGTTATCCTTTTTCAAATCTCTCTGCTTTTTCAGCTCCTAGTGACTTGCTACATTTTGAGCTAAATGGACTCTTGTCTATTAGCTAAAGTGAGTTGAAACAAAGGCTTTCCAGCCTACCACCAACTGTGAGTACCTAAATGGCAGCACCGGTGTTAGGTCAGTTGTGAAGACTGAAAGCAGTATGTATCCAATGGTGTGATACGCTTAATTTGCGCGATCAGGTCTGCATGTGACTACTATTTGTTGTTCATGCTGTTTGTTTTTCCTGTTTTTTTCATATAATGCTTCAGATACACAGATACACAAATACAGCATAATCTATTATTAAATAGCCAGTTCATGTGAGTGAAAGTATGGCTGTAGGAATTGGTTACTCCGATTGCAATAACATCCTGGGTTTTCGATGTCAACAAAGTTTCTGTTCTGCTGGGATTCATGTTTGTAGCTCTTCCTTTGTCCCTCCTCTCAGGACCTTGTCTTTACTAAAGACAGCTAACTAAATCTGTGGGGACATGATCCAAGGCCACTTCTTGACAGTCAGCCTCTAGGCAGTATCATTCTTATGCACTAGCTAGCTTCTGGTCGGTGGATCGAGTGACTACGGTTCTATGTCAAACGTCGATTGGATTTTAAAGGTTGTGTTTTCTTTGTAATGAAGCATTGCATGTCTCATAAATAGTTACTGTACATGTCCAGGCACTGACATCTTAAAGCTATGTATAGTTTTCCTCTGCGAATTTCACTATTATTCCTCTACGCTGTTTAATCTTTTTTTGCCTCTGTATGGAAGCAGAGGGGATGCAAAAGAGTACCTGACTCCAGAAACTGCCAGTTTTCCAATTTTGTGGTGTTTATTTTTTTGTAAGTGTATTTTACCTTTTTTACTTTCACTTCCAGAGTAGCTTTTCACTCATCTTTTCTTAAAGCATTAAGTACATTCCATAACACCAGAGGCTTAAACATCAGTCGTGTGTCTGGAAATAAAGTCTGGGAAACCTTTGGGAGCTATTTGTAGCAGTGGGTAAAGATAGCAAAAATGGGCAGTAGGATGGTATGTGAATTATGGTGTGTGAATTCATAGTTCAGTAGTAGGCCTGCACTGGGTTTCTGTGAAGACTTCAGTTGCCTGAAAGTTGGTTGTAGTAGTTTATCTAGCTCTCAAGAGTTAAACAAGGTGATCTCAGGCAATTTTAAATCAATGTGTTTCAAAAGCAGAGAGAAGTAAATGGCAGCTTTGTGCTCTGAGCACTTGCGATGTAGAGCAGGTACTCAGAAGGAAGCTGTTGAAGTGATGCCTTTCTGGAGGTTTCTCCCATGCCAAATACTAAAGAGATTTCATGTGCTATTTGTAGAAATTAAGGATGCTGTAATTTTTAGAGCTATTTCTTGCTTAGAATGTATTTTTTTTTAAGTCTTTGACATTTTCATAGTTCCTTCCACATTTTTGGTTTGTAGGATGTCATCTGCTCTTAGTCTTAGATCATTCTGTACCCTGCCAGTTTTTAACTGACATAGTTGTTTGGACCAGCTTCAAACCACATAACATGAAGTTGCAGGCTGCATTTTCAGTAGCTGTGGCTCTAAGAGATGGCATTCTAGTTGTTCATCAATATAAAAAAAAAAATCTAGAATAAATACACAGGCTATATGTCACAGTGTTTCTCATTCGTTCATGTTTTATTTGTGTATCGCAATAGAATGCTGTGACACCAGCGAAGACATTCCAGGCTAAAGGCAGAATTGCACAAGAGCTGCTGAAATTGCATTTTAATACTACTGAGTGGCTTTTATATTTTTTAAATGTTAACTTTCCACTTTTATTCAAATATTTTCAAGGACTTGAAACGTTCGTTACCAGTCGGACTTGGACTTTCTGAAACCAAAATAACATCTCATGGCTTTGACAGCACCAAAGAGGGAGTCGTTGAGGCAGGACCATTTCCAGGTAAAGGTAACTACTTTTTTTTTTGTCTTTATTTCTCAATTTAAAAACTTTAGGCATATTTTCATATGGTCAGGAGTACAATGTTCTGTAGCTGCTTTGAGCATTTTGGTGTAAATGTACACGTTGAGTTGTGCATTAGTGACAACCTGTTTATCTTCTCTGGTAGCTGCATTGTTAAAATAGAGAATATGTGCTACACTTGTAGTATCCGTCAAGGGACTAGTGGAAACTACTTAGTGTTGAATTGGTCTGCATTTACAGGAAGGGAAGTCCTTGAGCACCTTGAAACAGTGTCAGACTGAAGAATTTTACTAATACCTTGCATTGAAATTTTCTTTAAACGTTGCAGGTGTTGTTCTGATTTGAAACGTAACTGGAGAGTTAGTTATTTCTTGATACACAGTTCACTTACCTGGAGCAGATTAATGAGTGGAATTCTTCTTTGTTGCCCCTGAGACTTGTCTCTCTTTTTTTTTTTTTGTTATAGTGCATATATTATTTTAGTGTATTGTTTTTAGCAGTGATAATGCTTTGGGTCTCATTTTCCAGGTACCACCTCATGAAAAGTGTCCTCATATTTTCTCAGCACAGAGTTGAGGTTGTTTATAGCAGAAGGATTTTAGTTAATTAATATTTAGTTCAATATTCAAGTATTAATGTACATTTTAGAGAATCTAAGCTAGTATTAAACAGTGAGAAATACGAAGTGATAAACAAGCCGGTAATGTCAGTGTTTCCCATCTAACTAGAGTGCCATGATATAGTATGCGAAAGTGACATTTTAATGAATTATGTAGCTTTGACAATTTCTGAATTTGAAAGGTTTGAAATGATCTCAAATGAGCAGCTGTGAAAATAAGTCTCTTTGTAGTCATAGACTGAATTTACATTTTGCTTTATTTCCTGTTTGGTAAAGTGCTGTGCTTGTGAAAACAGTGATTTGCATGCTGTACTTTACATATATTACAAAGTGAATGCTGTGGTTTCTTTAAGTCTTTGAAATCAGCAAAATATCTAGTTGAAAACTGGGCAGATGGCAAACTGCTCACCATTCTTGCCTTTTGGTATTCTATTAGCAGAATAACTGTTGCAGCTGTTAAGTGCATTAGCCTGTAAGGGAAAAAGTGTCCAAGATGTGTTTCAAGCTACACTGGTATGTTTGAAATCCAAATGTTGTGAAGGAAGTTACGTACACAAATGACGAGCTTTGGACATGTAATTTTTGACACTTTAGATATCACCGTTTTCCTCCAAGAATATTTTCTTCTGATTTTCCCTAATGCTCTAACCAAATCAGAGAGAGTGAGCAGTGGTAGAAACTAAGGCTTCTCATGCAACTATGGACAGAAGTAGAATTTTCAGAAACAGGGCAATCATTCTGTTTTCTGTTTGCATTCAGAAATGGAGTCTCAATGAGGACACTCAGAGTAGACAATACCGAAGGGGAAGAGCTTTTAGGATTTGGGGAATGTTGAATGATGAAGCATGCATAAGGCTGCGTTAATACTCTGTCAAATGATAAGAATTTTTTAAACTGCTTGTCTTAGCTCGCTTGCTGGAGTGATTCAGGATCTTGCAGTCAAACTCTTATGCCTGGATGAATCCAGTTGCAGCTCTTACGCAATGTATCACTACGGAAGGACACAGCAAGTGAGCTGGTTTTCAATTTCATCGTTTCTGTGCAGTTGGGTCCAAATCATTGGATTAATTGTACTCCATGTTAGTAGTGCTCTATAGTATGTTTAAAAGGTAAAAGCTGATTCTTGATTCAGTTACTTTGAGTGATACTTCTGGTGTTACTGGTAACTAAATTTTGTTGAAACTGCTAAAGTTTAGGTTTGATTTTTCTTTTCCTCCAGCACAGTTAGCCCTGAAGTATGTCAGAATTTCTCAGCAAAAGCAATAAAACCTCCCCGCGATATGATGATTACTCATCATTACAGAGAAAAAGCTATTTTATTTGTTTTTAAACCCTGAAAATTTTGTAAGAATGCCACTTCACATTTATGTGATATGAAAGAGTTGCAGAGCTCTGAAAAGCATAATCCTAAAACAGCTTAGAGAACACACATGGTGAAGGTCATTTAAAGTTGGGCTTGTTTTTTTTGTTTTGTTTTTTTTTTTAAGAGAACAAACAAGTGCTGTAAAATCTTTCTTTTGGGAAGGAGGTTACACACCTTAACAGCTAATGTCTTGTATGATCTTCAGGATAGCTTATTGCTGCATGTTTACACAGACTTAGGAGCAGATGTTAATCAAATATGTCTGAAATTGGCACAGATTTCAGAGCTTACTTCACCCTTTAATGCTGCGAGTACCATTCGGTGATAGTGCAGAGTGAAGTCTACCTAGACCTGAAAAAGGAGGTTTCTGCTGTGAAAGCTCTGTATTAACAATCTTTCGTGAAATTTTCTGTTGATGGTATATACTTTACTGATAAAGCTGTCAGTTGTATTTTGATTACTCTTACAAAAAAAACTCAAAACAAAACAAATTTGGCATCATGACCTAGAGAAAAAGATTAAATCGTGAAAACTTGGAATAGTTCACATGAACAGCTGTACCTCTTAAAAACTATTTCCATCAGAAATTCCAGCAACTTTTCTATGACTGCTTCTATTTAGTGTGTTGCCGAAGCAAATGTTTCTTTGTTTTGAAAAAAACAAACCTATCTGTGTAAAAGCGCACATTGCCTTCTAAGGGAAGATGATGGATTTTCATGGTTATAAATATGTCCCCTTTCCAGGTTCCTCAGCATCACCCAAATCATCTGTTATATCTCCTAGCACTGCAGCAGCTAGCAGACTGGCTGGACAAGGTTGTGATTTAATTATTCCCACAGGTATCATAGCACTGAATGGATAACGCCCGTGTCTCTGCTGACACTGTACTAACTCCTCCATATCTATAATAATTTGATTTACTGTTAGTTGGAAATATAACTTCCGGGTTTTTTTGGTGGCTCTCATTTCTGGCTTTTAACAGCTCACAAAGTAACCTCTGCTTTCCTTTCTGTATGCTGCTTTTTGCTCTATAAGTTCTTAAAAAATATTTACCAAATGTTAATAATAACGAACAGTAGCTAAAATGGGAGTAACCAAAATATTTTATTTAGGTTAAAGCTGAAACTTCTGACGTTTCTTTGCCAAAATGATCACGTATTCCAGTAGAATAGAGTATGAGGTGGCCATTAGGAATTCCCAACACCCAGACTAGGTTTTGCCACTTGACTCATTTTGTGCCCGTGGGCAAGTTACTTAACATCTTTGTCTGTTTCCTCCTGTATAAAAGGAGAAAACCTATTCAGTTACCTCATAAGGGTGTTGAGAGGATTAATTACTTAATGTTTGCACAGCATTTTGAAGACATAAAAAACATAGTAGAGCCTGATGCTAAAGGAGTATCTTGAGGCATCTGTATAGACTTTTTTCCAAACTCTTATTTACATAAGTAACCTGTCAAGGCTAAGGTGACTGTGAGTAGCAGTAGGAATTAGAGACAGGAGTAGTCAAAATTGTACATAAATAAATAAAAGCATTGCTTAAAAAGTGGTACTGCTTTGCCATTCTTACTATTTAGGACACTACAAAATATTTTTGCAAAGTTAAAACTTAGAATCCACGTGATATCCCAAGCTAGCTTGAAAATGCCAAGTATTGGCAGTTAATGTGTGGTGATTGGCCCTAGATATTTTGATTTGTTGCGTTAAATCTTTTCTTTGTTGCTGTTTTTATACTGGTGGTATGTGGAATTAATTATTCCTAATACAATGAGTTAATAAAGCTGAAATAAATAAGTTAGATATTGGCTGAACATGTCTTCTAGAAAAGATGATGTTCATTGGAAAAGATTAAATTTCAAAACAGGGTTTTTTTATTAGTTGTACTCTGTGACAACAGTTTTTATATGCAAATAATTTGTATTTAATGGTCTACAGGTTGCAAACAGACTTTTAGATTGGCTAAATCCAAGAGGGTGTTCAACTGTTGGAATTTTAAAATGTAGATTAAGTAATAAATATGCCTCAAAAGCTATTTTAAGGTTGGTTTGTAAAACTCCATGCATCAAGTAAGCTTTATTCTGCCTCTTACTACATGAAATTCTGAGATATGTACATGCATTATATCAGTTTTTAAATAGTGCTTTCTTTCTTTCTGGAATTGATTTTGAAAATCTGCATATTTGTCTTAAGCTCATGCTGTCACCTTGCTCTGCTTTTGCATGTGCAGTTGCACAAATTTTCCATACGTGCTATTAATCCCTTAAAAAAAAAAAAAACAAGGCCTTGAAGATTTGCTTTGTGTCTCACATAGGGGGCAGAGCTCAGCAGAAGAGTGGACCTGTTGTGTTAGCAGATGAAGTAAAGAATCCAGCAATGGAGAAATTGGAGTTGGTGAGAAAGTGGAGCCTAAACACTTACAAGGTATGCACAAATATATTTGTGTGTATGTGAGTATGTACCTATATTAGAAATTAGCTTGCTACTAGATAGGGCTAAAGCTTTCAAAGTATTGTACTACTGTATGGATGTAATCTGTTGTTGCAGTGAACATAAGCAAGAATGCATAGGGAAGGCTTAGTTTTCTTCCAAGTGTAGCATTCTTTGTAAGCCTCTTTATATCCCTGGTTTTAACTGGAAAATCTTTCATAGGTATTATTGATTTAACAAGGTAAAGAATGTTCAATTTCTAATGTCCCCTTCGACATACAGAATGTACAGATTTCAGCACTAATTCTTGTAATTAAATAATTTTGCTATCTTTGAGTTGATTGCTGACACGATACATTTTTAGCTGATGGGAAAGTCAGGCCCGTCTGCAAGTTCCATGCTTGTTAACTGCTATTCTGATGGGTTTTCTTCTGTCTTGGGTGATTGTTTTTTCGTAATGTTGGAATTGTTGGTTTGATTCATGTATGTTTTACTCTTATGTGGTGCTTCTTTATGATCAATTGGGTTTTGATTAAATCAGTAACAAAAGAATAAAGAAACTTAGAGCACACCAGTTTGCCAGAAGTGACTCTCATTAAAAAGCCATAAGGTAAGGAATGATTGACAGGAAATACATTAGTATCAGGAGTTTTAAACAAAGACTAGTTTTGAAAAATAGCTTTTTGTTATGTCTGCAACTTAAATTACTAAGTTGTGGACAGGTAAGCTTTACGTCAGTGGGATCTACATCAAACTGTGGAGAAACGAAGAATCTGAGGAAAAAAACTTCCCTTGTAAAACACAGGTCTGTCTTTTAGCCAGAGAAATAGTGAAAAATGCTGGGAAATGTGGTCTCATATCCTTGTTTAAGACATGATTTCTTTGTCAGTAGTCTTTGCAAAGTCTGGTTTTTTAGATTTCTTTCTTGACTTAAACATCCCCCTCCCTGAAATCCAGAATCCCACCAGTTAGGGTATAGCAAACAAAGACTAGCACTTTCAGAAAACTAAATGAATCCGTTTTCTTGAAAACTATAAGCTTTGTTTCCCAAATATGCCTAAGGAGATAGGTCAGTTGGGATCTTTCTAGAGTCCCATGCTGACTTCTATGGCTTTTTTTGAGGAACAGGATTGTTCAGAGAGAGCTTATGAATTCATTCTGACTTGAGGGAGAATTATGCAAGTGTCCCTGGAGATGCCGTACATTAGAAAACACTTCATATGTAGGTGTTGTGGTTTTGAGCATGGTTAGCAGGAAAACACCACAACCGCTCACTCCTGCTCCCAGGGATGGGGGAGAGAATTAAAGGGGTAAAGGGAAAAGAGACTTGCAGGTTGAGATAAGAACAATTTAATAACTAAACTGCAATAATATTGGAAATAATAATGATAATAATGATAATAATAGTAATATATACAAATATACAAATGAGTGATACACAGTGAAACTGCTCACCACTGGATGACCAAGGCTCAGCCTGTTCCCAGCTACTGATCCCGGAGCAGGGAGAGTCTCAAAACCGCAATCCTGGCAAAGAGATAAGAGACAGAGAGCTGGCCAAGAGAGGGGTGACCCAGAGTGAGAGAGAGTACTTCCGGACCGATCCTCATGGATATACTGCACGTGATGTGGATGATATGGAATATGTCATTGCCCAATTTGTGTCTCAATCCTAAACCTGAGGTCAAATCCTATGCTAGTAATTAGGGCTGTGCTCCCTCCCAGCTTCTCCTGCCCCTGCAGACACTGGCACAGCAGAGAAGCTGAAAAGCCCTTGACTGTCCTGGCAGCAGCTATAAACATCGCTATGTTATAAGCCTTCTTAGCACAAATCCAAAACACAGACTCTTACTAGCTACTATGGAGAAAGTTAACTCCATCCCAGCCGAAACCAGGACAATAGGCTACATCCTAAAAACATATTTGATTAAGTATGGTATTTCAGTTTGTGGACATACTGGCTTGCTTTGGTTCCCTTTAGGAAGGTCATGGGAAGATGCCTCCTCCTTATCTCGTAATAGCTAACTGATCATAAGTTAGAAGAGAGGAGACAGTCTAGGAGGTTCCTGGAGTGTGTGGAAGATAACTTCCTGACACAGTTGGTGAGCCAACTAGGGAAGCCACCCCGCTGGACCTGTTGTTTACCAACAGAGAAGGACTTGTGGGTGATGTGATGGTTGGAGGCCATCTTGGGCATAGCAGTCATGAAATTACAGTGGGTTTTTTTATCCTCAGAGAAGTAAGGAATTGCACAGGGTAGACTGCTTTGGGGCCTGGTTGACAGAGTCCCTTTGGAGGCAGTCCTGAAGGACAAAGGAGTCCAGGAAGGCTGGACATTCTTCAAGAAGGACATCTTAAAGGTGCAGAAGCAGGCTGTCCCCATGTGCCAAAAGACAAGCTGACAGGGAATAAGACCGGCCTGGCTGAACAGAGTGCTTTGGCTGGAACGCAGGGGAAAAAAAGAGAGTTTGTGATCTTTGGAAGAAGGGGCAGGCCACTCAGGAGAACTACAAGGAGGTAATGAGGTTATGCAGGAATAAGATGAGAAGGGGTAAAGCCCAACTAGAACTTAATCTGGCTACTGCCATAAAAGATAATAAAAAAATGTTTCTATAAATACATGAGTAACAAAAGGAGGGCTAAGGAGGATCTCCATCCTTTATGGGATGTGGGGGGAAAGCAGAGTGACAAAGGATGAGGACAAGTCTGAGGTAGAGGTACTTGATACTTCTTTGCCTCAGTCTTCCATAGTAAAACCAGTTGTTCTCTGGTACCCAGCTCCCAGAACTGGGAGACAGGGATGGGGAGCAGAATGAAGCCCCCATAATCCCAGGGGAAATAGCTGGCAACCTGCTACACCACTTAGACACACACAAGTCTATGGGGCCAGATGGGATCCACCCAAGGGTACTGAGGCAGCTGGTGGAAGTGCTTGCAAAACCACTTTCCCTCATTTATCAGCAGTTCTGGCTGACAGGGAAGCTCCCAGTTGACTGCAGGTTAGCAAATGTGACCCACATCTACAAGAAGGGGCAGAAGGAGGATCTGGGGAACTACGGGCCTGTCAGTCTGACCTCAGTGCCAGGGAAAGTTATGGAGCAGATCATCCTGAGCACCATCACATTGAAGTGATCAGGCCCAGTCAGCATGGGTCTATGAAAGGCAGGTTCTGCTTGACTGATGTGATCTCCTTCTATGACAAGGTCACCCATTTAGTGGATGAGGGAGAGGCTGTGGATGTTGTCTACTTAGACTTTAGTAAAGCCTTTGACACTGTTTCCTACAGCATTCTCCTGTAGAAACTGGCTGCTCATGTCTTGGGCGAGCGTGCGCTTTGCTGGGTAAAAAAACTGGCTGGATGGCCGAACCCACAGAGATGTGGTGAATCCAGCTGGTGGCCAGTCACAAGTGGT